TTTTGGAAGTAGATCTCCAGGCCTTTCTTCCTACTCTATCTTAGTCTGGAAGCTCCATTGGAACCTTTCTATCATGGGTGACCCTGCTAGTCTTTGAAATACTGGTGGCATACGTTCCAGCATCATAGCTACACACAAGGCACCATAGTACAACAAACTGACAGATGGGAGAAACAGTACCAGATAATAATTTTTGCCCAGAGAAAAGGATCATTCCCTCGCACAAATAGTTTGATACATGTAAAGGACATAGTCCTAGGACCTAACCCAGGTAAAATATAACTTGTTATTGTATTGTGCTCTTCTCTCTCTCTCTGGATATACATACATATATATGTAGAGAGAGAGAGAGGAGTGAGACAGAGAGAGAAAAGCACAATACTGTATCTATCTATCCATATATATCACCTTCATTAAGATCCTTTGGATACTTACAAAAACCCAGGGAGATATGTAAGTTAGTAGCCCCATTTTATACATAAGAACAAGCTCAGAGTAAAATGTGTCACAACAAATATATCAGAGAGACCAAAATGACGTCTGAGCCTTTGATATCACATCCTATATTCTTTACCTTACACAGACTATCAACAGCGGCATGACTCCTTCTTAAAGCCTCAGATTTAATAGGTCCATTTTGAAATAGAGGCCACATGGGAAACTGTCACTACTACTGTCCTTTAACCAGGAAAATGAACACAGATATTCTCAGTTACTTACACTGTTACCCCATAAATTTGATTTTGTGATCCTGATGAAACACCCATAAGCGACAAGTGTTGGAGCACTGTCCACAGTGACTTGAGATTCTCTCATTAAAGTATAAGTGCGGGCATTGCCGATGGTTTGATGGTTTCTCTCCACCCCACATCCCGCCCCCATGCTGTGGGGGGGATAAAACCTTGGAACAAATGACTCAAATTAGAGATGAGAGTTCAATGATATAAATCCTGTAAAGTTATTAACACTTCCTGGCACACAGTAAGCCCTTGGTTATTAAGCCAATTATAGAAATAAGTAGTTTTTGATGTCATTGTTGATGTTACTGTTACTGCATTTTCACTTGGGGGAAAA